ACTCCGATTAAAAATTTCACCGATGGTCCATTGAAAAGCATCCCCGATCGGTAACAACCCTTCCCTACTATGCGAGAGCGTTATCGCGTTCCTGACAGAGAAAACGTCACATCATGGTGTCCCATGGATTATACGTTCTCAGCCAACGCTGTACTCTCGTTTCCCGTCGACGAGATCGAAAACGAAACAATGCCCGGATTATGGTAGGCACGATGTGCCTCGATTTTTTTATGTTTTCAACCCTCTCTCTCTCTCTCTCTCTCTCTCTCTCTCTCTCTCTTCGATATCTTGTCCGTCTCTGCTGATGCTTTTTCTTCTTTTCTTATTTCTTTTCCTCCTCGTTCTTCCCTTTTTCGTAAAACAAACAAACTATCTACCCAAACGTTGTCTTTTCTCTTCCTTTCTTTTTACTCTTTTGTTGATCATTCCGGATTTTTCATTTTATTGTTCTCGTAAATACTAAACAATCGTAGTAAAAACGATAGGAATCCCTTTGCAATAAGAAAAACATCTTCATTTTCTTCTTCTTTTTCTTCTTCTTCATTTTATTTTCGAATAAACAATTCCAATTCGATTTATCGTCGCTTATTCTCGACGGATATATATATATATATTATATTGTTGACAGATTTGGAATATAAAACCTTGGAACATACAAAGAAAAATCATCGAAGGTAAAGAAATAAATATCTTAACTTTAAACAATGTTCATTGTGTCGGATTTCTGCGAATGATTCTTATCTTAAAATAGATATTCATCCTATCGAAAACATTTGCATATTGTTAATATGTATACACGAATGCATTATAAATGATTTTGTTCGAGCAAACAGAACATTATTCAATGCAGATGTTAGGAGTAAAAAAAAAAAAGAAAAGAAGAAGAAAGATGAAAAAAAAAAAAATCTTCCTCGACCGACGAGATTAGTTGTCAATCGGCTTTTCGTAGAAACGTGTGCTAAACATTGTGCACATGTAGAAACGTATACCATTATTTTTTTATTAGCAATCTTTAAAAGAGACAGACAGACAGAGAGAGAGAGAGAGAGAGAGAGAGATAAGTTATCGCTTGGTGTGTACACATCGGAAATATTACTTTGCAATAAAGATCTATTTGCCTTACAATTAATTCGTGTTGCCTAAGGAATAAAGAAGACAAAAAACAAAAAAGATTTGACTTGAGCGAACGTTAAATTGTTAGTGAGATTTATCGTGAACAAATATAATATCTAAAAATAATAATAATTTGCTTGTTTTTCTTATATTCATCTTATAATCTCTAATACGAACGAACAATCTCGTATATTATCTATCTATGACATGGCACGATAAAAAGAAAGAAATAAGAATAAAAAACGAAGAAGAAATTAGCGAATAGAAATCAGCTAACCTTGCGTGGTTAATGACGATAATAGAGTGCAGTGTAAACGACGACCGGTCTCAATATCGCGATCGTACGACGAGAAACGCGATTTAAATGATGCATCAAACACCAAGAAAGGGGGTGGTAAAGAGAAAGATAGAGAGAGAGAGAGGGTTGTTAACATCATTTGCATGAAATCGCAGGTCTGTCGTTGTTCTCCCCTTGTATACCTATCTAACAATGTATACGCACTCCCTATATATACCCCCCGCTTCCCCGCTGTTCCTCTGATACTCGACCCTCTCATCTACCCCCCCTCCCCAACTTGCACCCTACCCCCTCAATACTCTAGTATTCTACCTGCAGGTCTCTGACGTATTTATGTCAAACGAACGTAGAACGTGCCGCCCTGCAATTGCCAGCTGACTGGCCGGTTGAGTCATTAAAGGTTACATTGTACGATCACGTGGAGGTACGAACTAACCGTTATATCCTGCTCATTCTACGGTAACAGGTACAGGTCAATTAGGTACAATAATTTATCCAAGTGCAAGCAGTGTTCACGTTAATGTTGTTGTATTCATTGAATTTATAGATTTTTAATGAATATATTTTGTAACTTTTGTTTATTAGGTAACCGCCAGGGATTGCTAGCTTTTCCTGAACCGTCAGGGATTGACTAGCTTCTTTTTCCGATTAAATGCTTAGATTCTAAGATACGGTCATTTTTTAAACCCTTTTTCTCGGAATTGCGCTATGCGATTGCAAAAAAAAATATTAGCACAATTCGATGTAGCGTCGTCGAATTACCATTATATCAAAAATGGCATTTGGCATTCCAAAAAATTTCACGTTAGCATCTTATTGACTGGCCTAATCGAACAAAATCTATTCTCATCTCGTATTTTATTTCTAAGAGACTCTCGAACGATCAAGCTTTATGTTTTCCCAACAGAGAACACACGAGTACGTACAGTACAGTCAGTTTCCCGATCGATTTGTCGAAAAGAGCTTTTCTTTTTTTCCCTCTCTTTCTCGTCTCAAGGGTGGTGGTCGATAACGAGCCACTTGTGGGACGAGAAGAAAAGAATTTTCTTCTTCTCGACTCCCAGTTTCTACGTTCAATGCTCGTATCTTTCTTTCTCTCTCTCTCTCTCTCTCTCTCTCTTTGAAACATTTTATCGATTCGTAAAGAAAACACAACCAATTTATCCTTGGCAATTGCTCGATGTACGTACCAAGTAAAATAAGAAGAATACAATAAAGTACTCGACAGAAACCGGTTATCTTTATTTATTTTTACCTGAAAGATTAGTAAGAGTTAAAGTCTTTTGTTTATTTAGATCTATCATACTTTACGTTTATTTTATATAAATATGACGAAGAAACTTTTACCTTAATAGAATCGAGCAAATAAGATAAAAAAAAAAGGAAATAATTCGACGAAATACGATTAGACTGAGGTTTCCTTTTTTCTTTTTTTTTTTCTTAAAGTGCATACGAACTTTGTAAACGAGATTAATCTTTTCTCGTGACGGAGAAGGGAAGGAAGAGTAAAATGCGTTTTAATTTATTTGTTTTGCAGGAAACGATAGGAGAAAGATAGATGACCGAAAAAAAAATATACAAGTGAATCGAAGGATAAGAACGGAGCATGACGACCGGATGAAAGATGGTTTCAATAATTATGCATTACGTAACGCATAATTTATTGTCCGAGTATATAATTAATATCTTCTTGGGGGTTTTTTTTTTCAGATGTACCTATGCCTCATCCGTTCTATATTACGTTATCCCAAAATATTCTTTCATTTTTTTTTAGAAAGATAGACCCAACTTGACATGATACAGATTTTTCTTTAATTCCACACAGTTGTTGTAAGAATCCATCAGGATCATATATTCTTATCATATTATATATTCATATTAACAGTTTAATTAAAAGAAAAAAGTATACACGAGTGAGTTGAAAAGTTTTGAGTCTATTAACATAAACCAAATATTTATTTATATTATATTATTTTACTTTTGGAATAACATATGATATATAAAAACGTGATGGAGTATAATCCGATCGTATTTCCTAACGTGGACAAAATAAAAAAATCAAATAAAAATGAATTAAATTAAATATTATTGTGCATATAACAAGCAAAAGAAACTTTCCAGACGATACAGATTTACAATGAAAAAAAAAAACGTAATATAAATGATTATTAAAAGAAAGAGAAATAAAACGCAATCGAAAGTTTTGTGAAACGTTGTTGGTGATGATCATGCAGATGGAAGAGCCGATCTCGAAAAGGGTGCTTCGCTGGGATATGTCGGTTCCCAATTAAACAAATGCCTGCTATACGCAAGGCAACCCTCCGGCAGGGTGCTTTCTACCCTCTTTCTCTTTCCATCTCTCTTCGATTTTAGATAGTTCCATCTCTTTTTAGCCTACAGGGAAACGGGGGAATCGCACGTGTCGAGTTCAGAGCATGCGAAAACCCGAGCTAAACGCATCGTAGGACTTTCTGCGTATATTTGCGCATGTGTACGCAGCTCGTTTCACCTACGGCCGCTTTTAAGACCGTTCCACTGTGCCGTACACGTATTCGTGAACTTAACCAAATTATGTATGCATCTATCAACGAGAAGTCACGCATGTGTCTGAATCCACGCACGCATGCACCCACGAAATATATATAATTAATTCGTCCAATCGAATGAACGAACGAACGAACGATCCCGATGACAACTACGAAATACTTTTAAGCGTATCTTCTTGCTATTATTTAAAATTCTTTATTATATTTATTAGAACTTATATACCCCCTTTTCTATCTAAGTATACACACATCACACATACGTATATATACATATATAAATTCGTTTGAAATAGTAATGTAATTTTTTTATTTTATATTTAAATTCTAAGATGTTTTAAATCGAATTTGATAAATTCTATTTCTCAGTTATTTATTTAACGTTTATGCGAAACAACTTTAATGTAATTAATTTGATATTCATTTTATTTTACGATTAATATATTATAAAATGAATCAGAAAATAAATTTCATTTATTCTGACACGTAATATATATATATGTTTTGATGAAAAGATCATCGAAGCGTTTGGAATCTTTACGGTTTTTTGAATTCGTATGCTTGAAACTCCTACGAATTACGTTTGAGAGAATTGAAAACGAAGAGAGGTGGAAAAAGGAAACGGTCGGCAAGTTGGAGAATGTTCCACGAAGCACTTTCGACTTCTTGCCGGATTACATTACGGAACCAAATATTGAAACATCCCTTGAAGGCTGTGGTCAAGCCTCTTTGACTTTCTGCCGGCAGACGACTTCGTCAGCAGTCGGCTAGCTGGCTGGCTGGCTGGCTGGCTAGCCGGTGAAAGTTCTTGTTTAATCCTTCAAAATATGATAGCTCGGAGAATGTTAGCTACTAAAGCACATTTTCTTTTTTTCCTCCCCCCCCCCACTCCCCCAAACTTTTCTCCTTTAATTCTATTTTAAACTATCCTAATTTTCGATCTACCAACGTGTACTAATCGAATGATTTTAATTTCCATCCAAAAACAAAAATCTAAAACAGATCGATAATATTTATTTCATTCAAATACATTTAATCATCTTTTATATTAGGTTTTTCATTTAAATAGATATTTATTGAATTATTTGTGTTATATTAGATTTATTTATCATTGTTCTGCATTACACGGTACGGGAGTACTTTTTACTTTTTTAGGAGGACATTCGTTGATAGGTACACACACGTCATTATCGTTTCTAGCGTATCCATTTATGCAGTAACAGCCCTCGTTGCATTTCTGAAATGAAAAGTAAAAAATCTAATACTATGACGCAAAATATAGTAATGTGACCTAGTAATACACTTACGATATTTATGATAGGACATGGCTCTCCGAGAGTATCGCACCGTGTTTGGCAAGCTGAACCACATTGATATTCTTCGTTTGGTTGATCACAAACAATCGGTGGTTGATTTTTTGCATTCACAATAACTACAATAATAAAATTGAACATTGAAATATATATAATTACATATAAACCTGTAATATATAAATAAATTCGATCGAAACTTATGATCAAAAAGTGAATGTTTTCTATAATGATCTATCAGTATTCGTGTTGTTCATTTATGTAGGCACCTATTTTTGTTTCTTTTTTTAATTATTAATTCTTTATGAAGCGAAAGATTAGCAAGAATATTAGTAAAATATGTAATGGTATTTTCGAGAACACTGAATTATATATGTATATATAAGAATATTATTCGAATTCACTTACCAAACAGAGTAATCGTTATAGTGACGAATAAAATAGAAAAAATACGTGACATGTTCTGCGAAATTATCGTCTCCTACTGTTTAAAAGTGACGTTTAATACCGAAGGTGTGATCAGCTTATATAGTGTAGCATGACTAATTTTGTATTTACTTATCTTTTATGTATAATATTACATGCAAGCAAAATGTATGCATGGTAGTAAAGTTATTAATCTTGAGAATAAATTGTCGACAAGAAATTGTCATAATTAATACAATAATAAAAGATCTTTCTTAACTGCATATATTTGTAAATGAATAGTATAAAAATATACAAATATATTTATTATTTATAATTTTAACCACATATTTGTAAAAAATGCAAAAAAAAAAAAATACTTCGTTGACAAGTTTAAAATATCACCAGGAACTTAATATTTTCTTTAGTTTTAAAAATAGTACGTCCACGTGTTTTCTTATCTCTTTTATGCAAACATATATAACTAATAATACTTATTAATAATAATTGTTGTTATTATAGTGATATTCGTTCATCGGTATGAAACACAACAAACGTTTTTTCTTTTTGATAGAATATACTCGTTTGTTTTTATTTTTTACACATAAAAAAATAATAATTATTACTGATTATTAATAATAATTATTATTCTTTAAATAGACATTAATTAGTATTCAATTTTCCTGGTAAACATCTGTTTATGTGTAGATGTAATTCAATACGGGATTTCCCAATGATTCTTTTCGTTCGACCTTCTTCGAATTTCTATTCATTCTTACTAACTAGCTTCTACCTCTCTCTCTCTATATATATATATATATGTATACATATATATATATTTCTTTGCTTGTTTTGTTAACTTATCGTTAATCATATACAAGACGCGAGCGTGACGTCAAAGGAATGAGTCATAATATAACATAAATGTTCTCACGTAACACCAATCTTCGTTTATTTCCTGTATTATAAATTTAGTAGAATGAAAGAAGAGGAAGGTCATGTTTTAGATTGGATTCACTATCGAGTTGATCGAAAAAATTAACGCTAAGGCAGGATCATTGAATAAATTATTATAGAAACAAGAAAAATGAAATAAATAAAATTATCAGCAACATTTATGTTTCGTAGTAATTGTGTATTTTTTTTTGTCATCTTTAAACACTATCTATGTGTTTTAAAAAATATTAACATAACCATTTCTGACATGAACCATTAATCCGAAAACAATACAATATTGTCGCAATTCATTTCCTAGAAATGATTTGAAATAATTTTACAAAAATTGTATCATTTGATATTTAATAAAATATAACATGCGTTTGTGTTTTATATTTTTTTAAACATTCGGTAATTTCACAAAATCATTTTTCCACGCGTCAATCAACGATAATTAAAAGTACAAAATAGTTATGATCTATGTATTAGATTTATTATGATATTTTTTTAAATAAACATACTCAGGAAGTCTTGGATTTCATGAGATAAAGTATAGAATCATTATTCAACACAACAGACAAAATAAAACGGAAATATTAATTCATTCTGACGAACATTTTGTTTTGGCGTATTATTTCGAGAAGAAACGTTGATAAAGTAATTTATAATATAGACACAAACTGGGAAATTTCAGCAATATGTTTATGTACACGAGAATTTAATATCTCAAGTAAATTGGTAAGAGATTTGAGAATTTTAATTAATTCCAGTTAAAAAAATAAGATATTACACGCATTAGTCTTGCAATTAATGTTATCGTTCATACAACAAAATATGTACGGACGCCTAATTCTAACAGTGATATAATTAATTTTTTAAATATATAAATGTAACATTTAGTATAGAAAAAAGAAATAATTAATTAATGAAATATATGTGAAAAAAAAAGAAATTAAAAAATGCAATCTGATTTTGTATATTTTCTAAATATTATAAAACATAACATAAAATGTTATGGTCATGTTAATTGCATATAAATAAAATTTGTAAGACGAGCTTAGGTATTATTTATACAATTGTTCAACCACTTGCAATGAGATGACGTGCAATATACGTCAATTATTGATTCATGTAGAGATGTTAACGACGCGTATGTTACATTGTTAGATACCTTGTCATGAATAAAATTTTGGGTGTGTTCCGGATGTCTTTGCCGAATCAATGAATCGTTGTAATTTTGTCAAAATTATTCGATTTCTATGAGATAATATTTATATATGATTATATTGTAATATACATTTTGCAATATAATTATTTTGTTATATTGCAATGTAATTATATACTCAAATGTATTTCATATACGTAATGTAAAATATATTTAATTTCAATGTTTGATTTTTCCATTAGTATAATTTTACTTTAAATTGAACTATAATAACATTTGAAGATATTGGTTTTTTTTTTTATTATAAACATTTGATATCAGACGAAATTCTGACGTATCAAGGAAATTAAGTCATAGTATTCTTCACATTACTTCGAAAAGTAAGACCACGTTCGTTTACCAGAATATTGATAATGCTGATAAGAATTTTAACGAAAAACAAAAAGTGTCATCGGCACAATGACGCTTATTAATTACTTTACTTGGATTTTCCCATATTTAACGATCACCTCGGTATATTTGCGTTCAGAATTTGATATGAGAAAAATCTTTTTTTCTTGGAATTACGTTTGTCGAATACAACGTCGACAATTTGGAAATGCAAATAATCGAATGCAATGAACACACTCAATACGCTAAATAAATATAATATCTTCGCAATGATGCATCGGATGCAGATAAACATGAATTAATAAATTGTCAACGAAATTATAAAAAAATTTTTTTATACAAAAATAATTCATTCTAGGAAAGAATGTATACGTAAAACTAAACTGTAAACATCTTGAAACAAATTCAAACTTTTCGTAAGAAATTATAACAAAAAACTCGAATAATACAAAAAAATATCGTAAGTGGTACGATTTTATTGATTCTTTTTTTTATTTCCTTTTTTTTTTTATAAGTGATTAAAGTATTCTCTTTTGGACGTAAATGTTTGTTGTTCCAAGAATTTATTTCCTTATCAGAGAAAAAATACAAAAAAATTCAATTTTTTGTTTCAAAAAATTAAGAAATAAATTATAATATATTCAGGCCGATGTATTACGATGATCTGTCGCTACTATTTTTTTTTTATCTCATTTATTATATCATTTTATTATTATGCTTATCTCATTTTTTTTTTTTCTAGTTTGAACTTAACGCAATCGATGGACCTAACCGCTTCAAAATTCAACGATACTATTTATCTTATCCGGCGTACACAATTTACTAGCAACGTTATCATTTATCGTCTTGCAAGAATTTCATGTTGAAATATTATTTAATTTCGAATATCTTTTATTGTTACAAGAATATTTACAAAATAACAAATGGATGTAACAAAAAATTGACGAAGTAATTATGAAATAAACGAGATTTAATGTTTCTTTTTTTTTTCCATAAAACTCATTACAAACGCATGCAATTAAACGAACGAAATAAATGACATTTGTTTTCTAATAAATATTGATCCAGCGTTGAGATTAAAATAAAATTACATACGCGCGTCGTTCGTATCGGTAATAAACTTTGAATAATAAACTTCGTGTTTAAAAAAGAAAATTATAAAACTGTGTATAATACTAAACGATCATACTCGACTGTAAAGAACAAAATTATATAATTTTTGCAAAGAGAGAGTTATTTGAATAATACATTGTAATTCATGGAACGATTGAAGAACTCCCAAAAAAAAAGAAGAATAAAAAAGCCACAGTCTTCACGGTTATTAACCTATTATAAATCAAAAAAGTAATCAGTGATTTATTTCACAAACGAAACTGACAGGTAAACGTATATTTCAATGCGATCTACTAGGTACAAGGATTTTTTTACAATACAAACCATATACATGTGTACGTGCAGTCGTATGTGTGTATGTATGCTTTTAGTCATCGTACAAAGTGTTGAAAAATATCTGTGAATACTACGTTTAATTTCTGTGAATGCGTATATATGTATATTCGTATATGTGTATGCGTGGTATACGTATGAGAGAAAGAGAGAAAGAGAACGAGGGGAAAAGAAAAAGAAAAAAAAAGAAAAAAAGGAAAAAAAAGAAAACGAGAATAAATTAAATATGAAAAACAAACTTAAGGCGAGTCAAAATGTGGAGAGGAATCTACGAAAGATGTTAACGATGTCAAGAGTATATAAGCTGACTGAGACCGAATACTGCATATCAGTCTTGTTTTGATAGACCATAAGGATAGCAACCATGTCTCGCGTTATTTTCGCTCTTCTTGTCCTCGTGGCGGTCGCTTCTGCTCGTGAGTTATTTCCTAAAATTCATGATTTTGTATTTAATTTACATAAAAAAATCTTGAATAATTATTTCTTTCAATAATCAATGCACACGATTTCTCTAATAATTTTTTTCTAATAAAGTGTCTGATACTTTGCGTTAAAAAAAAAAAATAAAAAAAAAGTTTGAAAAAATTGATAGATTGTCTATTAAATGAAGACAAATTGTTGACGAATGGTGATCGATAAATAATGAATTAATTGAAAATGTGTCTTTGCAATGTTTTTTGGTGATATTCATTGAATTTGAAATATTCGAATGAAATATTATACAATCTCTAAAAATATCGCAAACACTATTTGAAATATTAATATTATTATTAGTAATTTTTTCGATTGGAAAAATCAATAATAAAACGGGATTGTATTAAAAGTGAAAATTTCGGGGATGATTTTTAAATATTTAATTGTAAGTAAACATTGTTTTATTCTTTTCATAGTACCACCATCCCAAAAATGTAATGAAAACGAAGAATTCACGACTTGTGGTTCAGCTTGCGAGCCTACTTGTGGTGTTACAACAAGTGATATTTGTACTTTGGTAAATATTTTATTAAATTATTTAATTTTATATTATATAGTAGTTAGTATCAACGATTAATATCACGGATTTTACATCTTATTAATTCAACCATGATTACGATACAATCTAATAGCACGTTTGCTATGTGTGAGATCATCTTTGAAAATAAAATCCTTAGTTAATAATAAAAAATAACATATCTTAATAAGTAATCACAAATAGAATTTTTGTTGATCGTATAATTTGTCCAATTACAGCAATGCATAATCGGTTGCCAATGTAAACAAGGATTCCTTAGACAACTCAGTACCGGGGCATGCATTAGTGAAGCAAATTGTTAAATAGAACAAAAAGGTTCTATTGTGGTGTGGGAGTAATACTATATACGCTATCAATTATCAAAATTAATTAATATTACGCTTAAATCCTTGCCGTTTATACGGAATTTTATGTTATTCAAATATTTGTCATTTTTTCGATCTTATATGAATATTGTATTAATATAAATAAAAATATATTATTTTATTATATCATAGATCTATTTATTCAAAATGATTCATTATTATTTCTTATATTTACACGAAAGATCCTTTGATTCCTGCTAATCATCGAAATATCATCAATGTTCATTTGTATCAATTGATGTTAAGAATATCGACAAAAATAATAATAATAATCATTTATTTCTGAAGAAAAATGTAAAGTTTTATCGTATGAAAGTGTATGCGTACAGTTTATCATAACTGAAATGGAATTACATTTATCAGTATATGTGATAAATATGACATAATAAATTAACGGAAGAAATTTAAAAAAGTTGTTAAGTTTATGAAGTGATAGCAACTGTCGATTATCGCGAAGCTGTCATTGAAAATTATTCTAATCGTTCTTAAGAGATTATCTAATTTTCTCAGTAAATTTCTTGCGTCATTCGAATTTAACAACTGCTGATTCTTACTTATGGGGAATTATAGTAATTTCATAAAAAAAAATGAACGAAAAATAACAAGGATATGTAATACGCTTTTAAGTAAACTTTCGATAAAAATATTTAACAAATTAAAGGAAAAATTCTCTTTACATTATTTCTACGAATGATTATATTTTTCATCGCGTATGAAAGAATTTATTTATTAATATAAAGATTTTATTTAACATAGGAACTGGCTAATCTTAACGGATTCTAATCAATGAGATGTTAAAGTGCATGACCTAAACACATCATATCGATAACTAGTGGATACTTAACATAAAAAATAGAACGTAATGTTATGAGATGATAATATTATCCCGAACTTTGTCAATAAAAAATCGTTTCTTCTTGGATGCTCAAATATTTCTTAGCAAATGAAAAAAAAATTAAAAAAAAAAAACTCGTATTTTCCCGCTAGCAAGATTTTTAAAATCTATTTAAATATAATTAAATTATATAAATGTTTTTCTTTTTTTTTATTTTCTAACAATGTAAATAGCCAGCGAGTAAACGTTTCTCGGCAGATCACAAAATTTTCAGATCTAAAATGTTCTTCTACAAACAAGAATAATTGAAGGTAAGCGTTGCAGAAATCTGCAAGATTTGCTGCATCATCTGTTTGCTTCTTAGTGTTACTACAGTAAATCCGTTACACATACAGTAGATCCGTCTAACATAAGATCATTAAATTAAAATCAGGAAAACGAAAGGTAAATTATTATGATGATATATACCTGACCGTGCTCGTAAAAACACGTTTTTAGATAACGAGATGATTCACGTTTTATCTATAGAAGAAGAAAATTAATTCAATTCCATGATTCATATATGTGATTCAAGCACATCTTATTATATAGAATAAAAAAAAGATTATTATTCGTATCGATTAAATTTTCTTTATTTTATTGATTCAATATTGCTCGATCTATAATATACATAAACAACGTCATCTATTTTAAACAAATGTTTGTAATTTTATTTCATAAAATTCACTCAAAAATCAACATAAAAAAATTCCATATTAAATCTTGGAAAGAACATATTTGAAAATATTCTAATCAATTTCAACAATCTTTCTGCAAAACGCAATCATTATTATTGTTTCTAACAAATCCATCTACACAACGGCATCCAGCAACGCAATTCTGTAAAATAAAGAAAAAAAGAAAATTAAACGATTGGATTTTTTTTGGTGCGAAAATGAGTAGTCAAAGAAAAATGAAAATTCTACAAAAACATAATTTTTTCCTCAAATTGAAAAGTGAATAGCCAGCACAAAATCTGATCACAAAATAATATTCTTCATTATAGTCGCCAAAAAAAGAATACTACGAATGAATAATCTCATAAAATTATAAAAAATACATAAATGAACTTGATAATTTGAAAGATAAAAATAGAAAAGAAAAGAAAATTTGGAAAATTCTATTCTTAGAATATCCGTGTTGTTCGAATGTAAGAAAAAAAAAAAAGAAAAAGAGATGAACGGATACATTTATATTTCTTTTCTCAAATATCTCGTTTTTTATAGAAAATGTTTCAAATGAACGATGACGACGAGTAACACAACACTCACCAAGGGGCAGATAGTTGGAGAAGGATTTCTGCAGGTACGCGGGCATGACAATCCACAGGAGTCAAATATTTGATTAGGACCGCAGTCGGTTTTCTCTGGAGTAGTAGCAGCTAATAAACAGAACAACAGAAGTGACAGGTTGTTTCGCGAGTCCCTTATTTAAAATATATACACACATACACACACGCATCAATCGTGTAGACACGATCGTCACGGTTTTTATAAATTTTTCACACGATTTTTTTGTTTTTTTTTTGTTTTGAAATATTCATTAAACCAACAGTAGAAAATAAAAAAGAAAACAGAAATCCACTTACAAGTGCTGTAGATTATTCCAACGAGGAGAGCCAGGATGATCAGTTTGTTCGACATCTTGAGATACAATCGGAATAACGTATTGTTTTTTTATTTCGGTTATTGTTTTACCTTACCAGTAAAGTTCGTTCTGATACTAATTACAACGTTCGAACGAGCTCTTTATATATAGTCAAACATTATCGCGTTATCGTTCTTCTTAGTTTATTTCCAGTATTTTTTACATTTTTTCGTATCATTATAAGTCGTATGTCATACGATAAACATTTATTTTTTTATGCAGATTGCACTCTCTTCGTTTTTTATTTGTTATTATTATTATTATTATTTGATACTGAGATATTTTTATTATTAATTTTGTCTGGAATTAAATGAGAGGAAATCTTCAAATGTTTAATGATCATTTAAATCATATGGAATATATTTTTTAATATTGTCAAAAGTATGAATAATAATA